TTAGAGGCATTGCTACAACAGTCACCACCACGCTAGCTATGCTTTATAGTCTCCTTGATTAAGGCAAGAGAAGGCCATGACTTGTCCCAATTGACAGACCTAAGATCTCCTGCCGCCCAACTCTGTGCCTGTCTGTAAGCCCGTCCGTGGGGATTGCTGGATGGAGGGGCCACTGCAGGCCAGCAGCATTTACCTGCAGGGGGATAGCTTGCATAATCCGCAAACACACCTTTGTGCATCCCCCAGCCTGGGCCTCTCCAGCCCCCCATCACCTGAAAACCCCTCTAACAGGCCAGTTGCAGCACTTGCCACAAGTTCCTCTCCTTCTACTCCATCCTGGAGCTCCTCACCCTAGCCTCCAGCCTCTCCACTCTGTGGAAAGAGCTCTCCCTGAGGCCACTGATAGCTCTAGTCCAGCCTCCTGCTCTTTGCCCTCTGTGGCAGGGGAGAGACTTGCTCATACACCCCCCTCCAAGATATTGCCCTCCCGGGCTCCTGTCGCTTCTGGTTCTCCTTGCTCTGCAAACTCCCCCCCCCCCCCCAGTTGCAGGCTCCTCATCTGCTCTCCTGGGGGGTCCTCTTCTCGCTGCAGCCTCTTCCCCCATCCAGTCCCACATCCCAGCCTGGCCCCATGTCCCCTCCTGGCTGCCTCGCCATCAGAATGGCCCAAGCTCACCTGCAGGTCTCTCCTACTCCCTATCCCGCTCTGTCATTGCCAGCGCCCCCATGTGCCTTGTGCTCAGGCCCATATCGGGTGGGCGGCCTGCAGCACCCTCCCTCACTCCATGCAACTGGTGAAATCCAGCCCCTTCTGCCACAAGAGTCCAGCTTTCCTCCCAATCCAGATGGGAAACATTCCAGCCTGCACCCTCTTCTCCAGCCTGTGTTACTGCAGCCTCCCCACCACCCCCAGGGCCTGCACTTGGTACAAGGCAGAGCAGTCACCTCCCTGCCCCATTGATCTGATCACTTCACCCCCGTGCCTGGCTCCCTGCTCACACTTCATCATGCTCAGCTTCACAGCCCTACGTACCCACTCCCAGACCCCTGTTCTGCCAGCACCACCAGCCCCTCCCCATTTCAGCTGCTTCACTCTGCCCAGTGACCCAGGTGCCTTCTTCCAGGCCCCCGCAGTCCATGGACCCTCCTCTCTAGTCATGCATGGCCACTCCCCTCTGCTCCTCAGATCCCTCCTGGAGCCCCTCGGCTTCTCCAGCCACCATAGAGACAATGTGGACATGCCCCCTCCCCTTACTGATAGCGACGGAGTGAAGGGAAGCACAGGATCCTCTGGTGATAAAAGCAGAGGGGAGCTTCCCCTGGCTTGGCTACACTGTGCCCTCTCCGTGAGGGTAGAGGTTTAGCACTGGTCAGGTTCTGGGGCAGCCTTCAGACTTCTCAGATCCCTGAGCCCTGCTTTCTGCTCCTTTTGCTCCAGCCACATTCACAGCCCATTCTCCTAGCCAACACCCCTTCCATGCCCCAAGCCAAGGACACAGAACTAACAACTCAGCACATAAAGCTGCAACAAATGGGCCAATTCGAGCTGTACCCAGGGCTCTCCAAGCTTGGGCAGGTTTTGATCCCACTCCCCTGTCCATGTTCCAAACCTGTTGTAAGATCACTTCCCTTTAGGCATCTCTGCCCTGGCTCAGATCCAGCCCTGCTCTGCCTCTGCCAGGGAGCAGCTGAAGCCCTTGGGAATCCGTCCGTTCTTCTGGACTCACATGGCCCAGCCCTTCTCTGCCACCCAGTCCCCCCTTCCAGCTAGGCAGTAGGGTGCTCAAATGGAAGTTACAAGGGCAGCACGTTCTGCATCCATTCCCTCTGTCTCCTCCTGTTTCCCATGGCCTCTGCGTGGCCAAGACTGACTGTGAGAGCGGAGTACCAGCCGAGGCCTGCATGTCAAGGACTCTCAGGCTCCTTTGCTGTTGCCTGAGAGCATGCAGTGCTGTTTGTGTAGCTCTCACATGAACTGAGCTATGAGGTCTTATCTTCACTATTCCAGCTCCACAGCCAGCTGAGAGCCTCCACTCACAGGACACCAGCTGTCACTTTCTCCATGGAGAGAGGACGAGGTTACTTTATGTGGATGCCTTTTCTCAAGAAGGGACCATCATGCAAAAGACAGCTAAAATACCCCACCGAACTTTAGGCTAAGGGCGTGTCTACACAGGGACATCCAATGCAAATTAACTAAAGGTGTGAATTTGAAGTGGATTAGTTAAACCACATTAAATCCCTGATTGGATGCTGCTATTCAGAATTAAAGTGGCCTTAGAATCATAGAATATCAGGGTTAGAAGGGACCTCAGGAGGTCATCTAGTCCAATCCCCTGCTCAAAGCAGGACCAGCACCAACTAACTCATCCCAGCCAGGGCTTTGTCAAGCCAGGTCTTAAAAACCTCTAAGGATGGAGATTCCACCACGTCCCTAGGTAACCCATTCCAGTGCTTCACCACCCTCCTAGTGAAACAGTGTTTCCTAATATCCAACCTGGACCTCCCCCACTGCAACTTGAGACCATTGCTCCTTGTTCTGTCACCTGGTATCACTGAGAACAGCCTAGCTCCATTCTCTTTGGAACCCCCCTTCAGGTAGTTGAAGGCTGCTATCAAATCCCCAACTCTTCTCTTCTGCAGACTAAATAACCCGTTCCCTCAGCCTCTCCTCGTAAGTCATGTGCCTCAGCCCCCTAATCATTTTTGTTGCCCTCTGCTGGACTCTCTCCAATTTGTCCACATCCCTTCTGTAGTGGGGGGCTCAAAACTGGACACAAAACTCCAGGTGTGGCCTCACCAGTGCCAAATAGAGGGGAATAATCACTTCCCACAATCTGATGGCAATGCTTCTAATACAGCCCAATATGCCGTTGGCCTTCTCGGCAACAAAGGCACACTGCTGACTCATATCCAGCTTCCCATCCACTGTAATCCCCAGGCCTTAAATTGGTTAAATTTAATTAACTTTGCAAGTGAATTAAAATAAACTGAATTAAAGCCACTTTAATTCTGAATGAGGATGTTCACAGAGATTTATTAATGCAGTTTAACTAATCCACTTCAGATTCACAATTTTGGTTAATGTGAATTAATTTTCCTGGATGCTCCCATGTAGACAAGTCCTAAGTCTCTTCCTGGATCACAGACACATTAGGTCAGGCTGACCTAATGTTCAGAGACCCCTTTGTGCAGCATTCCCTACTGACACATCACAAGGTGACATGCACCTTCAGTGGCACAGCCGCTTTTGGGGCAGGAGAGCTGGTTTATCAGGCTGGATGTGCTAGTCCTTGGCTGGATGGGGGGCATCTCTCTCCTCCAAGCATTCATGGCCCATGCTTCTCTCTGAAATAGCTGTGGCGGTTTGGATTCCGTGCTGATCAGCCAGCAGTTGCCCAAGCTGTGTCCTCCCCAGATAGGGCAGGGCTCAGCTGTAGCTGTTGGATCTCCCCTTCCAGCACTGGCTGATGCTCATGAACACCCAGTCCCATCTGGAGACTCTACCCCATAGATGGTCATGACCTCAGTCCCAGAAGCTGCGCCTCCCCCTTCCCCAGAGAGAATCCAGCCATGGTGCAATAGCCATCTGTGTGTGAGCGCTGGAGAGGAATGAGAGGGAGGGTGGCAGTGTTTTTTCTTTGGGGGTCTGGAAGCAAGTGACTTCCCAGCACCTACTTGGGAAGGACTGGGGGAGGTGGGAGGGGGGAAGAATGACATGCCCACTGTATTGGCCCTATGTAAGGGGCAGTAGAGTGGAAGGTGATGGCAGTTTGTGAACTGGAATCTATTATAAAAGGAGCCAAGTTCAATCATGCTAGATGTACGAATTCTTAGGTGAAGTTCTCTGGCCTGTGCTAGGCAGACCAGATTGGCTGGTCATCAGGGTCCCTTCTGGCCTTGACATCTATTAGATGGCAGCTGCCCATGAGAAATGAGGGCTAATGGTGACAGGAGAAGAGCCCAAAGCCAGAGCGGCGGGTTAGCCAGCGGTGCGCAAACTGGGGGTGCAAGAAGTTCTCAGGGGTGGAAGGGAGGTGAACAAAGAAACTGGGATCCCGTGGGGCCCACAGCCATAATAGCAGGAATGGGATAAAAATAGAGTGGGTATGGTGGGGCAGGATTAAATAAAAAGTCCTCCTATGTCACAGACATGAATGCCCTGGCCAGCAGCTGCTGCTGTCTGGTCACCCAGCTCTGAAGGCAGCACTGTGGAAGTGAGGGATTACTTTGGATGACAAGTAATTGTGGGTGAGGTGGCGCGGCTGAACAAGTTTGCGGTAGGGTAAGCCATCCCGAGCCTAGCAGTGCATGGCCTAGCCATTTAGCTCTTGCTTTATGGCCTCCAGATGCTGCCTAAGACAACTGTATGGTGAGCAGCAGCTGTAACACGGTAGAGCCTTTGGAAAGAAAGGGAAGTCCAGCAGGGAGGCTTGGAGTTCAGGAACACTGCGCAAGGCACCAGCCCTTGGAAAGCAGCCAGCCTGCCTGGGGATTTAAGCCACTTACCACAGGCTCCCTGTCCATGGCCTTGTCCTAGGCAGGTGGGCAACAGTCCTTGGAAATTAGTGGTGCCTCCGGAATCCGCCAGGCACATTCTGCTCATTCCGTGCTGGACATGGGACCAGCGTTTTCTTAGGAGCAGCCTGGCTCTGCCGCTGCGCAGGGATGACCAGCTTGGTCACACGACCCCTTCGGAGCATGTGGGTCCTGCCAGGAATGTCCAGCTGAGGCAAGCTCCCTGCCGGCCTGGCAAGCACAAAGCCATGGGGCTCCTGGTTTTAGCCTTGTCTATGGTCACCTGCAGGAGGCGCACCACCGGCAGGGCTCATGAGCATTCGCCGTGGCGTCGGGTCGGCAGCTGCGGGAGGGGAGGGGAGGGGAGGGGGAATTTGCTACAAACAGCAAATGTCACCCAAGCTCTGCAGGAGTGTGGTGGACGGGAGGAGAGTGGGGGAGCATATGGGGGATGGGCAGAAAGAAAAAGCAACCCTCATATATTTGTGATTGTCTCTTAAAAAGATTTATTCTCTCTCCTTGCCTGACTGGCCCCGGGCAGGGAGAGCAGGTTGTGTATATATATATTTATATATATATATAAAAAACAAGGAGCTTGGTAATAATGTACACTTTACAGAAGGGCAGAATCAGGAAGACTGAAATTAAACCCAACACAGCAACTCCAACCGAAACAAGAGCTAGAACATCAACGCTTCACCGCCCTGCTGGGACCCCTGATCACAGTGCTCCAGGGCATGGGGGGAGTAACTCACTGAACAGACACTGCTACAAGGGACAGGACTGCAGCGTCCTACCCAGCTGACCACCCCACTCCCCAGCAGGGGGCGCTGCTGCTGCAGCAGGAGCCCACTAGGAACATTGAAAATGTCAAACCTCAAAACTATGGGTTACTACACCGTGGCTTTAATTAACACCTAAGGGCAGGTGGCACTTCCGAAAGGGGGTCTGGGAAACCCTTTGCCCGCGATTGTTGGCAGCAGCTGGGAACAGGGTGCTGAATCATCCCAAAAGCCCAAACCCTTCCGTTTTCAACCATGCCAGAACCCTCTCTGCCAGCCCCTCGTCCCCCCACCCCCCGAGCGGCTAGGCCAGGAGCTGGCGCTGCCCAGCCCCAGGAGTATCTCAGGCCCGGCAAGGCTGCCCGACGGTCTCCCAGCTGTCAGAGCCAAGGTGCCTGGTGGGGGGCGGCTGGGGAGCAGGCTGGTGACACCACCCCAAGGTACCAGGAACAGACCAACCCCCAGCCCCACCATAAGGAACCCGAAGCCACCTGACCCGGACCATCCAACCCCCTCGTTGGTACCAACACACACACAAATGGGTCCCCGCCCCCCTGCTGGGAATTGGGCTCTATGGGCCCCCGGTGGCTCTGCAGGGTCACTTCATGCCAGCAGCTTGGGAGAAGCTTGCCTGGCCACACGCAGAGCAAAAGGCTAGGCCCAGGACTCCCCCAGGGATGGGGCTCTGCCTCCCAACCACCCCAGCCAGGCAGTTCCCACCCTCACAGCCAATCCGACCCTCCCTACCCTGACAGGCCATAGGAAACCCGCCTGGGCCCCAGGCCATTACACCAGACAAGTGACCAGAGGGCAGCTGCTCTGGGCGGTGGCAGGTGGATTCTCTGCTCTGGCTGCGGCCAAGCTGCGGGTGTCCTGGAGGTGCCGGGGGGCAGCGTAGCATTTCCCAGTCTCCCGCTCCCGAGAACCTGGGGAAAGACCACCCCACCCTCGGCCCTTTGGCTGAGCCCTGCGGGAGATGGGGGAGGATGGGCTGGCACCTCCCATCCAGCAGACAGAGCCTGGCCGTAAGCGGAGCAAGCGCCCGGGTTCCTTTGACAGACAAAATGAAAAGGTTAAAAGAATCAGTCCAATGAAGGGCAGCTGCCAGAGGGGACGGGGCTGCGTGGACACACTGCCTTCATTGGACACCAGGGCTGACACATTGAACAGCGGCTCCTCTTTGATTGCACCCGGGGGGTGGGGGGCTGGGCTCCTCCCACAGGGAAAGAAACAAAAACCAAAACAACAGCTTTCAAACAATTCCTTTTTACAGTATGTACAGCGCCCGCGGGCGGCGCGCAGCCCGGGACAACGGCGACACAGGCACCATGCACACAGCTCCCACGGTCAGGGACAGCACAGCTCACCAGACACTGCACAGGCTGGAGGTGAGCCTACAGTGGGGAGCGAGCCAGCCCCTGCTCCACTGGGGACCTCCCAAGACTCAGAGTGAAAGCAACGAGCACGGGGTGGAACAGGCCGGCTGGGATCAGCTTCGAGTGACTGCTAACTCCTGGAGATCAGCCCCTCGAAGTAGCACCCCCATGCTGCCCGTAGGCCAGGGAGCACGGTCCTTACAGCACATCAACAAGGCCAGCTGAGTGGGGAGGGCAAGGACCAGTTGGGCTAATGGAGCCTGGCAAAGCGGTAAGAGTGCTACATCCACTACCTGGGCATCTACGTCCATGGGCGGGAGAGGTTCACAGCACATACACCAGGGGCAGGGGGATGGGCCCAGCCGTGTCGGACCCACTGCTCTGTGCTCTCACCACCCATGCCCCTCACAGCTCGGGAATCCGAAATTCAAAACCTGCCAAACGAACTGGAGTTTGGCATGCCCAAGGCAGAGGCCCCTGCAGCAGCCAGGCAGAGATGCTGGTGCTGCCACCGGCTGCTTCCCTAGCCCGGAGCAGACCCGTCCCCCACCTGCACATACTGGCCAACCTCTGAAGGAGACTCGACTTCATCCAGCGTCGGAGGAGCCTCCGGTCCCCCCACCCCCACGTGCGGAGCCGAGAGCAGGCCCGGCACACCCCCACCCTAGCGCTCGCACACACACACACTGCCGCCTACGCAAACATATGGGGCGCTAGGCCTGTGCAGGGAGGAACGGCCACCCAGCCAATCAACCCTGCAGGCAGAGCAGGGGGCAGAATGCTCACAAAACTCAGAGAGGAAGAGCCCACCCAATGGCCTTGTTTGTGCCAAATCAGGGTTAGTCTGTGCCACAGCAACCCGTGCCCCCTGCCAGCAGCTGCAGCGGGTCTGAGGAAGATGAGTGGAAAGGAGGCAGCAAGGAGGAGGCAGAAGAGACAAGGCTGGCAGGGGCACTGGGAGACTGAGGGGAGAATCCCTGGCAGCAGAGCACCTGGAGGGGCCAGAACAGCAACTGTCACCCTGGCTGGTGACGCCTGTTCACCCCCCCAGCTGGACTAGTCTGGGCGCCCAGCACCTCTCTGCGCTGCCTGGACACAGACAAACCTGCCCAACACAGGGCATGGCACTCGGGGTACCGGCCAAGTACACGGCCGGAGTGTGAATGCGCCACCTGCTGCACTGACGCACGCTCACCCCCCGCTCCACTGACACGTGCTCTCCTCCCCACTGCAGACGCACGAGCCCACTTGTCCCCACACTGTGCACTGAGCCCACCCCCACACCGCACTGACACGTCCGTGGGCGGATGCAGGCTCGCTCACGAGACACACCCCACCACACTCCTCGCTGGTATCCTATCAGCACTACTACAAATGAAAAGAGCCCTAAACTTTCTTCCCTGGGACTGCGACTCTGTGGCCAGGCAACTCGACTGTAGCGATCTGGGCTGCGCTCCCACGGAGCCAAGTGCAGCTGGCGGGAGGGCTGCGTGCTGAGCAGGCCCGACTGGCGCTCCCTCCCTACCCCGTGTCCTGCGCTGCTGTGCTGCTCAGACCCTGGCGAAGCAGTGACCTCCAGAGGGACACTGAATCAAATCCACCAGAAACCCTCTCTGCTTCCATTGCCTCTTCATATGCACCAGGCAGGCAGGTTGCTTCCCTTTCCAGGGACTGTGAGCAGAAGAATAAATATTCCTGTAGGTTCCAGCTCCCCGGCTCACAAGGAAAGGGGCATGGAGTGGGTGGGGACTCCGTGTGTCCCATCGGGAAGAGGAAAGTCTGCCTCAGATTAGGGCAGGAACGTCAAACAGAACAATTAACACCATTCAACTGATGTCTAATGGAATTTCCAGCGCTTCCTCATGTGAGCCAGTCACATGACTTGGTACAGACTCCGTCATCCAATCACAGCGCATCCTGCCAGAAAAATCAAAGGAGAAATCACTCCAGTGCCAATGCTGCTGCATCCACCAAGGGGCGCCCCAGCCACAGGAACCGGGAGACACGGTTCCTCCTCCTTCCCTTCTCCTGCGGCAGCTGCAGAGTCCCAGGACCCAGAGATGGGTGGGCAAAGCAAACAGCTGCCACTCACACAGGCCCGGTAACAGTGTTTACTAAGCAGTCAGGAATGGCTGTCCAGGGAACTCCCAGGCTGGGCTAGCAGAGGCTGCGGGTCAGGAGTGAGGGGCACCAGCAGAGCTATGGGGGCACCAGGCAGCCCAGGCTGGGCTAGCAGGGGGCTGCGGGTCAGGAGTGAGGGGCACCAGCAGAGCAAAGGACCTAGGACAGCCCCTGCCCACACTTTGCCTGGTTCTACCCTCTGCCCCGAGACCCCAGGCTCTCCCGACCCCACTGCAATGTTAACGTTTGTCCAGCGGCTGGAGGCTCTCCCTGCTCAGCTGTTCCCATGCCCTGGGTCTTTCTCTCCCCCCCATCCCCTTTGCGGGAGTGATGCAGCAGCCTTACCATTCTCACCTCCTGGGAGGCGGGTACAAGGAGGGAGCAGAGCCCTGCTGGCTGGCCACGATGGCTGTCGAAGAGAGACCTGCAGCAAGAAGCAGAGCCGGAAAGTGACCTGGTGCCTACAGCAGTGCCACGGGAAGGTGCCAGCTCCAGGGCGGTGCTAGGGGGCGAGCTGGCAGCTCAGCCACCCTCCCGTCATCGCCACTTGCTCTGAAGTGTGCTCCGGGATGGGGACGGCTCTGGGGCTGAACCAAGAGCAGCCCCCTGCCTGCTTCAGCCCTGGGCTGGCAGAGCCCCGCACTGGGAGCTATTCACCATGTACATTCAGGGGAGGTCTGTACTACTGCATTCCCCAGCTCAATTCCAGACCGATGCGCTGCTTCACAGAGATCAGCCAGGAGGAGGCACTCTCCCACTGCTTGTATCTGCATACTCCACTGCCCCAGCTGCAGCCCACTAACACCCGCTGCCCCACCCTTCCATCCTCCCTCCAGCCCTTCTCTTCTCCAGGCTCCACACCCCAGGCAGACACGCCGGCGTGCCTCCCCTTCCCACTGGGAGCGGTGCCGCAACTCGAGCCCAGCAGGGGCTGCCCACGCCGCCGCGCGAGACGGACAGGCTGCTCTCACCTGTTGCATAGGGCAGGTTGTACTGGGCTGGCAGCAGGGAGTACCCCAGGTGGTGGTGGTGGTGGTGTGTTGACATCAGGCGTTGGGAAGGGGAGGTCCGGGGCCGATCTACGCTCCTCTCTCCTCCTGCTGCTCCCACAACGCTGCTGCAGCCTCCGCCCCCTCCTACCACCCCACAGCCACCACGCTCCCTCTCTTGAGACGCCTTCTCGCTGATCTGGAGAGGAGAGCACAGACCCCAGTGAGGGCAGGGGAGGAAGAGCCCAGCCTGGGAAGCCGGCAGCGGTAGGACTCCCACCCAGTGAGATCAGAAGGGCCGGCACGGTGCACAGGCCACCCTGGGGGAGACAATTCCAGCCAGCTGTGCCGGAGCAGCCAATGCTGTCCGAGTTCAGAGCGCAAAGCACGGCCAAGCCAGCAGCCAAACCCCTCCCCACGGCTCTCCCCGACAATATGGCCGAGGCCAGAACAGTGCCAGGCTCAGCCATTTCACTCCACCCGGGGTGGGGCCTGGCCCAAGCTGCGCCAGGGAGGCCCCCACACGAGGGCTCATTTGGGGCACTTCTCTCAAAGGTCCCGCTACACTGCCAGGGGGCGCTGGGAGCTGCCAGTCCAGTGGGGCCTTGTCTCAGCAGAGCCCAGTGTTTTGGCCCAACTGAGACAATTCTACTCTTCCCCACAAGTGCCCCTACCTAGACACAGTATTCTCCACTTCCTGTCCGACAGGCTGTGCAGTGAAGTGGGTGACTCCCCCCAGTGGCGGGGGAAGGGGTTGCGGGTGGGCCATATAGCACCATGGCAAAGGCACGTTCGGCAGGTTGCACTAATGCAGCTCCCGTCTGCCCTCCGTTCACCGCTTGGCCTGTAGGCCCCAGCAAGCCCATCACTAGGAGGTAAACGACTCCAACCCTCAGCCCCTGTAGGATGAGTCGCAGGAGGAGCCTCTGGGCTGTGCCGCACCAAAGGAACGTCTCCCCATGTCTTCCAGGAGGGATCCACAAACCTGGGCGTTCCAGGGACTCCCAGCCCCAAGCCGGGCCCAGCCTCCCCCAGGGCCGGAGGGGAAGCCATGTCTGGTGGTTAGTGCATGGGACGGAGTAGCCCCATCACTGACTCACTGGGTATCCTGGGCCTTGGTTTCTGCCCTGCAGGCTGGGGTTACTGCCCAGCGCGCCATGGGCCAGCACATGCAGCGCTGGGGTCCTGGGCCTTCCAGGGGTCCCCGTGACGGGTCTGGGACAGGCTGTGCCAGAGTAACTCCAAGGGCAGGAGAAGGGGCCCATAAGCCCCCCCCCGCAGCCGGGCCAGGAGGAAGCACTGAGTGCGGTTCTCACTCCCAGGGCAGCTGCAAGCAGAGGGGGCTCAGACCCCACTTTCCATCAGGGCCCCAGGCCAGGGAAGCCCCATCCCACCCTCACCGTGGGAGACTTGCTCTTGTAGTGGCTGGCATGCTGCTGCAGGATGTCCAGGGCCTTGGACTCCGAGCTGGGTTTGCAGCTCACGCTGGGGCTGGCTCGTGCCTTGTCACCATCCTCGCTCCCGGAGGCCTTGCTGCCATATGGGGAGAAGGAATAGCTGGAGGGCAGGTAGGATCCTGTGAGGGGAGAGGCCAGTCAGAGCCTGGGGGAGGGAACGCCAGCGCCAGCCCCCTCCCTCCCTCCCCCCACCAGGCCTCCCACCCTCAGGCTGCCTGCTGGGCAGGGGGCTCCTGCCATCTGAGCCCAGGATGACAGCAGCATGCATCACTGTGCCAAGGCAGAGAATCAGACACATGGGCTCGGCAGGGACGCTCCCCCAGGCCACCCATAACGAGGGCCATGAGCCAGCATGGCCCTAATGTGACCAGGGACGTCTGCCCAACCAGCTAGCCGGCTGGCGGACAGCTGGAGGACCGGCCTGCAGCCCCTGCCCTGCAGCACATGCAGTGCTAACAAAAGCTGCTGCACCATCGCTCTGCCACCCTGCTACTGGGCCTGGGCCTTTGGCAGGGCCATGGGCACCCTGCAGAAGGGCCGACCCTCTCCCCCGCCCCCCGCTCACCCGGCATTCACTTCTGCAGCCATTCCAGTCAGATTCAATCCTCCTCTTCCCACCTTGCCCTGAGCTGCTGGTCCGTTCCTGTGGCTGTCGGGACCCCTGCCAAGCTCAGCCGTTGGGGACCCTCCCAGAGGCACCAGTCTGAGGCTGTGTGGTGGCTGAGTTATTATGGTGGGACTGCACTACAAGCACCACTCAGCTCGCTGCACCCAGCCCTTCTATGGTTGACTCAGGCCCCGAGACACACACCCAGGGGAGGGGAGGAGACGCAAGCCTCCCACATGGAGTGAACTCTCCCTGGCCTGCTGTCTAATCTACTCCTCTGGCTGGGCCCGGGGCCAGCGGGTAGCCCCCAGCACAGCGGCTGCGCCCATACCTGGGTAGTTCTGCATCATGACAGTGGGCATGCCCCGGTAGCTGGGGTGGTTGGGGTCGTACGACTGGCTGTAGGAGTAGCCGTGCATGTAGGGGATGTAGGACTGATGCTGGGTGAGGGGCGAAGACACGGGTACGTGGACGCTGGGTCTGGGGTCTTTTGCCACCATGCGGGACTCCTCAGGGGATGTCAGTTTGCATTCGGAGCTTGTGCTCTCCTTCCCATCCTCCTTAGGACCGGCCTCTTTGCTTCGGCTCCTTTCTTCCTTCAACTTCCTATCCCTCTCCTCTTTCCACCTCTCGTCCTCGCTCTTGAGCTCCGAGTACTTGGCGGGATAAACGTAGGTCCACATCCTGGGCTCTGCTTCCTGTGTCAACCAAAGAGCTCGTCAGAGTCGCTGCATCCCAGTGCTGCACCGTGCGGCCATGGCCCCGGCATTCACCGCCATGCTGCTCCCCGGGGCGAGCCAGAGGGCGACGGGCACCGCAGGCTGCGGGCCAGACAGCGGCTAGGGAAGGAGAAGGTGGCTGCAGCCTCTCCCAGCCAGCATCTACCCCCACTCCCAGCAAAGTGCTTTGCCATCACACTGCCATCAGCAAAATGACAGGCCGGGCACCATGGGCACCCACAGCTCTCTCCCACTTCAAGAGCCATTGACCCACCATACAGGGTAGGCAGCCAACGCCCTCCCCCCAACATGTCTGGTGCTCGCTGGCCTGCAAAGTGATAGGAGCCTTAAAGGGCAAAGGGGCAAACAGAGTGTGGGCGTGGAAGAAGAATGCCCCACCAGCCTTGTCTGTCTCCCCCACAGGGCAGATGGCTCTGCCAGCTTCCCTCCATTCTCATGTCCCAATTCCAACCTCACCGTCCCTTTGGGGCCCAAGTGGCCAGCGTGGCATGCAGCCCTGCAGGGGACCAGGCCATTCCTGTCCCGGCACTAGTTTGTTGGTGCCCGTGGCCCCCAGCCCATCCTCACAGACTGCACAGGTTTGCTTTGCTGACCCGGCTGGTAGTTCCCATGCTCCTTGGCCAGCTGCTTTTCTGATATAAATCCAGCTGGTACCAAGCTTTTGGAAACCACTCAAATCAGAGGGGAGTGAACATGAGAATGGCCATATTGGGTCAGACCAAAGGTCCATCTAGTGCAGTATCCTGTCTTCGGACAGTAGCCAATGCCAGGTGCCCCAGAAGGACTGAACAGAACAGGTAATCATCAAGTGATCCATCCTGTTGCCCATTCCCAGCTTCTGGCAAACAGAGGCTAGGGACACCATCCCTGTCCATTCTGGCTAATAGCCATTGATGGACCTATCCTCCATGAACTTATCTAGTTCTTTTTTGAACCCTATTAATCTTTTGGCCTTCACAACATCCTCTGGCAAGGCGTTCCACAGGCTGACTGTGCATTGTGTGAAGAAATACTTCCTTTTATTTGTTTTAAACCTGCTGCCTATTAATTTCATTTGGTGACCCCTAGTTCTTGTGTTATGAGGAGTAAATAACACTTCCTTATTTACTTTCTCCACACCAGTCATGATATTATAAACCTCTATTATATCGCCCTTTAGTCATCTCTTTTCCAAGCTGAAGAGTTCCAGTTTTATTAATCTCTCCTGATATGGAAGGTGTTTCAGGCCCCTAATCATTTTTGTTGCCCTTTTCTGAACCTTTTTGCAATTCCAGTATATATTTTTTTAGATGGGGTGGCCACATCTGCACTCAGTATTCAAGGTGTGGGTGTACCATGGATTTATATAGAAGCAATATATTTTCTGTCTTATTATCTATCCCTTTTTCCTAAAGAGTCACAACATTCTGTTCGCTTTTTTGACTGCTGCTGCACATCGACCGGATGTTTTCAGAGAACTATCCACAATGATTCCAAGATCTCTTTCTTGAGTGGTAAGAGCTAATTTAGACCTCATCATTTTATACGTAGAGTTGGGATTATGTTTTCCAATGGGCATTACTTTGCATTTATCAACACTGAATTTCATCTGCCATTGTGTTGCCCAGTCACCCAGTTTTGTGAGATTCATTTGTAACTCTTTGCAATCTGTTTTGGATGTAACTATCTTGAGTAGTTTTGTATCATCTGCAAATTTTGCCACCTCACTGTTTACCTCTTTTTCCAGATCATTTATGAATATGTTAAGTAGGACTTGTCCCAGCACAGACCCACCCGGAGGTCACCACTATTTACCCCTCTCCATTCTGAAAACTGACCATTTATTCCTACCCTTTGTTTCCTATCTTTTAACCAGTTACCAGTCCATGAGAGGACCTTTCCTCTTATCCCATGACTTCTTACTTTGCTTAAGAGTCTTTGGTTAGGGACCTTGTCAAAGGCTTCTGAAAATATAAGTACACTATTTCTACTGGCTCCCCCCCCTTGTCCACATGCTTGTTGACCCCCTCAAAGAATTCTAGAAGATTGGTGAGGCATGATTTCCCTTTACAAAAACCATGTTGTTCTTTACTGTAGTTTCAACCAATTTGTCCGGTACTGATGTTAGACTTACTGGGCTGTAACTGCCGGGGTCACCTCTGGAGCCCTTTTTTAAAACTTGGTGTCACATTAGCTATCCTCCAATCATCTGGTACAGATACGGATTAAGTGATAGGTTATATACCACAGTTAACAGTTCAGTAATTTCACATTTGAGTTCCTTTAGAACTCTTGGGTGAATACTATCTGGTCCTGGTGACTTATCACAGTTTAATTTATCAATTTGTTCCAAAACCTCCTCTATTGGCACCTTAATCTGGGACAGTTCCTCAGGTTTTATTATCTAAAAAGAAAGGCTCAGGTATGGGAATCTCCTTCACATCCTCAGCTGTGAAGACCAATCCAAAGAGAATTAATTTAGTTTCTCTGCAATGGCCTTATCGTCCTTGAGTGCTCCTTTAGATCTCAATCGTCCAGTGGCCCCTACTGGTTGTTTAGCAGGCTTCCTGCTTCTGATCTACTTAAAAAAAATTGTTGCTGTAATTTTTTGAGTCTTTGGCTAGCTGTTCAACGAAGAATTTGAAGGCCTTCCTAATTATATTTTTACACTTCATTTGCCAGACTTTATGCTCCTTTCTATTTTCCTCACTAGGATTTAACATCCACTTTTTAAAGGATGCCTTTTTGTCTCTCACTGCTTCTTTTACTTTGTAGCTTAGCCATGGTGGCACTTTTTTGGTTCTCTTACTATGTTTTTTAATGTGGGGTATACATTTAAGTTAAGCCTCTATTATGGTGTCTTTAAAAAGTTTCCATGCAGCTAGCAGGGATTTCACTTTTGGTGTTGTACCTTTTAATTTCCGTTTCACTAACTTCCTCATTTTTGTATAGTTCCCCTTTCTGAAATTAAATGCTACAGTGTTGTGCTGGTGTTTTCCCCACCACAGGGATGTTAAATCTAATTATATTATGGTCACTATTACCAAGCGGTTCAGCTATATTCACCTCTTGGACCAGATCCTGTGCTCCACTTATGACTAACTCAAGGATTGACTCTCCTCTTGTGGGTTCAAGGACTAGCTGCTCCAAGGAGTAGTCATTTAAGGTGTCAAGAAACGTTATCTCTGCATCCCACCCTGAGGGGATACGTACCAAATCAATATGAAGATAGTTGAAATCCCCCATTATTATTGAGTTTTTTGTTTTTATAGCCTCTCTAATCTCCCTGAGCATTTCACAATCACTATCACCATCCTGGTCAGGTGGTCAGTAACATATCCCTGTTGCTATAGTCTTATTATTCAAGCATGGAATTACTATCCATAGAGATTCTATGGTACAGTTTGGTTCATTTCAGATTTTTACTTCATTTGACTCTGTGCTTTCTTTCACATATAGTGCCACTCCCCACTCCCCGCAGCATGACCTGTTCTGTCCTTCCGATATATTTTGTACCCTGGTATTACTGTGTCCCATTGATTATCCTCATTCCACCAAGTTTCTGTGATGCCTATTATATCAATAGCCTCATTTAATATGAGGCACTCTAGTTTATCCATCTTATAATTTAGACGTCTAGCAATTGCATATAAGCACATTTGTATATAAGCACTCCTCACTTTTTAACTGCCTGCCGTTACATGATGTAACTGAATGTGACTCTTTCATTTGACTGGTTCTCATCAGATCATACCCTCTCCTGCAGGGGAGCCAAGTGGCAGGGGAGGTCCAGCCCCACCAAACAGCCTGAAAGCCAGAGAGAGGGGAGATATGGCCCCCATGGCCTGGCGGGGGAGGGGCCCCAGCCAGGCAGCTGCCCCACTGCATTGTGACGAGCGCACTTCCTTCCTCGCCGGAGCAGACAAGGGGGACACGCTCCAGCTGCTGCAGGGAGGGACCGTGGTGCGGAGGATATGGAAGGGAAGCACTGGCCTGGCCATCCGTGCCCAAAGCCCTCTGCCCACCACTCCACCCCGTGCCAGCATCTTGCTGCCCTCAGTGTCCCCCCAGGCAGCAGCGTTTACCTGTCTGTACCAGAGGACGGGGTCCACCTCTGCCTGCCTGCCGCACTCTGTGCCCGCTTTGGACTCCGCCGCCTCCTTCCCCAGGTGGCTGGCCTCGGCCAGCTTCACCTTGAGTCCCTCAGCCACCTGGCTGGGGAGCTTGGAGGAGTCCTCCAGCTTGGGGATGATCACTGACTTGGCCATGTCGGCAGCCCCCGGCTCTTTGGCCTTGCTCAGCCCCGATTTCACCAGGTCCGTGAGGCTAGGGGCTTTGGTGAGCGTGGGAGGGACGGACGGCTTCTGCTTCCAGTCCTCCTTGAGAGCCACCTCCCTCTCTTTCAGGCCCAGCTCTGCTTTCTTCTCCAGCCCACGGGGCTGCTGCTGCTGCTCCAGGCTCTGCCTTTGCTTCTGCTGCTCCTCGTACTGCTGCCGGTAGGCTGGGCTGGTGCTCAGCAGGTGGGCATGGTAGCCTTGCTCGCTGTAGCCGTAGGGGGGCACATAGGCGTACTGGTTATAGTAGAGGGACTGCATGTACATGTTGGGGCGCTGCTGGATGACCGAGGGCTGCTGGCTGGAGCTGCTGAGCTCCACCTTCTTCTCCTCACAGCCTTCACTCTTCACCTTCACCTCCGGGCTCTCTTGTTCCTCATCCTTCTTCATCTTCAAGGGCTGGCTCTCCACGGCAGCCTGGCTGCTGGGATTCATGGGCCCAGGGCTCGACTGGGGGTAGCCCGGGGAGTAGTACGCTTCAAAGCCTTGGTAGTAGGGGGAGTCCTTGCTCTGCGCCTGGGGAGGGAAAAGCGCTTTCTTTGCGCCTTCCTTGACCAGCTGCTCTGGGTCCTTGGCCTTCATGCTCTCCAGCTTGCCCTCCCCATCCTCCCCCGCATCCGAGATGTCCGAATAGGCCGGGCTATTGGTTTTCACCGAGCTCGCCTCCGCCCCGTTCTGGGTAACCACGTGCAGCGGGGTCATGGGCTGAGCTGGGGTGGCAGCAGCATTCTCCAGCCTGCTGGCCCCCCCGATGGATGGGCTTGGCGCGTTGTCCGTGAAGCTGTAGATCTTATCTGCCTCAGCCTTGATGCTGGCGAGCCGGCTCTGGTGTGGGTCAGATGAACCATTCAGGAGGCCTTCCCCTTTGGTCCCGAGCTCCCCCGATTCCCCTCGGAAGGGACTTTTGCCCTCCTCTGCTCGGCAGACTTTCCCAGGAGTCAGGGGGTTTTCAACCTCTTTGGACTCCTTCTTCTTTTTGTCCTTCTTCTTCTTGTCCTTGGAAGGGGTCAGGGCAGGGTTGACTGTGAAGGGCTCCCCCATAACCGTGGGCTTTGGCTGGATGGGCTTGAGCTGGGGGCTGCTGGGCATGGCCTGGACGACGGTGGCGGTCAAGGCGGCAGAAGAGCCGGGGCTGGCTGCGGTGAAGGTGGCCGTCTGGAAGGTGTAGATCTGCTGTGGGGGAATAGCAGGAGCAATGGGTCTGGCGGACTTTAAGCTTTTGGAAGGGAGCTTATCTGGCTTAGCACCAGCTGGCTTCTTGCACTTCTCCTTGTCAAGGCATCTCTTCTCTAGCGAGTCAAAACCATCGTTGCTCGTCTCATCCGCCACCGAGGGGCCGTCTTCGGAGCCGTCGTTGGACAGGGCTCCGGGGTCCATGTCGCCTTCCCCGCCTAGCTTCTTCTTGCAGGGGGCCTTGGTGCTGAACTTGCCAGATGGGGAGGGGCTGTGAGGCTCCAGCAGCCGCACCTTGGGTGTGGCCGATCGGGCCGGCGAGAGGGAGCCCTTTTGGGAGCCGTTGCAGCTGCTGACATCGGTGTGAAGGGGCGGCTCCTCACCGCACTCACTGTCCCCGTCCGCCTCCGGCTTGCTGTCATCGTCCGTGTGTGCGTGGGCCTGGTGATACTTCAGCCCGTTAATGTGCTTGTACTTCTTGTTACAGTTGGGGTGAGGGCAGTCGATGAGGATGGGGGAGGGGCAGTTCCTGTCCAGGCTTACAGGCTCCACCTTGACCCCGGCCGGGGGCGCTGCCGCCGAGCCCATCGAGTTGGTGCGGATGCGCTTGCTGCCCTTGGAGTCCTCCGAGCTGGAGTTGAGCTCCATGTCGGAAAGGGGCTTGCTTTTCCGCTTGGTCACTGAGGAGGGGCTGGCTTTCACGTCCTCGGCAGCGCCACTGGGCGGGGGGCGGTGATCTGAGGAGGTCTGGCTCCCCCGGCGCCCTTTGCTGCTGGCCCCCGCCCGTGTCTTGCTGCTGTTGCTGGTCCCTTTGCTATCCGAGGCAGCGGCCGTCTCGTTCACCGGCGTGTTGCTGTTGGGGCGCATGCGCTTGCCTCTGCCCCGGCCGTTCCGCATTTCCAGGTCACTGGTGGGAGAGTCACAGAACCTGGGGAGGAAACAACACATGCTCAGGACCAGCCAGAGCTTGGCATGCAGGACAGTGCACAGGCACACCAGTGCCATGGCCAGAGCGGGGGGGCACCCTGCGTAAGGAGCTTGGTCTCTGCTCAGCGCAGTCACCCTCTTCGGAGCACTGGGGGCTCCTCCCGCACCCCACCCCACGCTCCCTGCGAAGGAGGCTTACAGTACATGGGCGGGGGCAGCTGACATGGGGGCAACAGCCACACACAGGTCAACCCCCAGAGCCTGCCTCTGCGCTTTCCCCAAAATGGCTAGCTGGGAGCTGCAGCCAGCCAGCAGAGCTCTGCTGCTGCTACTCACAGTGCACTTCCAGGGGGCCGGCCTGGTGTCAGGCCACCCTGCGTGTGCGATGGAGGGATGCCAAGGGACAGGACCCGCCAGGAACAGGTTGAATGGCTTGAGTCAAGCCTAACTTCAGTGGCCCAGAGACAGCAGAGGAAGCCTCTGTTCTTGTCCCCGAGATGGTGGCAGTGGTGGGGCCAGCTGAAAGGAGAAGTGCTGGCCCATGCTCTCTGTCGGTCTGCTTGGAGGGGCCTGAGGGGCCTGCAGACTGGCTGGGAAGCAGACCCACACAGCGAGGGCCCTGCCCATGCACACTGCAGCTCCAAAGCCCTTCTGGGGAGCCCAGAGAGATGCAAGGACACTCTACAGTCGAGGCTCCCTGGACCGGCACCTGAGTCTCCCGATGCTTACCTGGGGGGCGCCCAGTCGTGCTGTGTGCAATCCAGCAGCGTACCCACATACGTCTTGTTCCTCCAGGTCACGTTAACCACCAACATACCTGTAAGACAAGGAGACGGGTCACCCTCAGCCCCTCTGGGAACCGGGGCTATACACTGCAGGGGCCAGGGCAAAGAGCTCCACACCCACCACAGGCCTGCCTGTGCTCTGGGTGGGAGCTGGGATCAGCACCAAGCCAGGGCCCAGCTCCGCACCGCCCAGTGCCATGGCCAGCACCACAGGTCCTGTTGTCCCCGAGGCTGCTCGGCAGCAGTGCGGTGGGCAAGGCGCTGAACGGGGCACCTGCTTTGGTGCTCGGGCCCACCCCTGCCTGTTCAGCAGCAGGGACCATGGAGGGGAGCAGGTGGCCTGCTGGAGAGGGGCCTCAGCTGCATCACCAGTGAAGTTAGCTCAAGGGCCCACCCACTTCCCTCCCCAACCTGGAGCTGTGATGGCAAAGCCTAGTGGTCACAGGTGGCTGTGAGCAGAGCTGGGGACACAGGGAGGAGGCGACCCCACCAAAGGGGTAGGGCCCCATAGGGAGGTGAGGCAGGGGACACACATAAAGGGAGCAGGGTCTCATCCTGGGGAGAGGAGCAGAGCCCAGAGAAGCAACTGGCTCAGCATGAGTGTGGGGGTGACACAGGAGTGCAGTGCAGCTCCTGAGCCTATTGCCCCTCCCCTTAGGGCCCACAACTAGGAACACACTGACTCCTCCTCCTCCCACCCGACAAACCACACCAGAGCCCTCAGTGGGTTGGTGCCACCGTTGTGCCACCCAAGGGGTACACACGCCATCTTAGCACAACTCCCACCATATACAGGGTGCTTCTGAAAGCCCCAACTCCTGGAGTCATGGGAATACCCAAGAATCTCAGCAGGCTAGCCCTGTGGCAGGGGAGGAAAGCTGGGAAGTGACCCCCTAATAGCTTAAACACCAGAAGGCAAAGACCAAGACCCAACATTTGTTATTTTTAAACATCTTAAACATCTCCTGGCTGTTGATCTCTCGGGGCTGGCGACACCGTGTGAATGGTTGGGGGACTGAAAGGAAGAGGGATATTGTGAACAGCTGGTGAACGCAGAGTCTTCTGGCCACTAGGTGTCATGCTCTGCAACCAAATTCAGCGGAGGGCCAGCTTCCCATCCTTAGCTGTAATTCATTGTGTGCCCTGGGCTGCCCCTAAACCTGGCCAGGCCAGCAGCGCTGGCTGGACCGAGCCCATCACATGGGCACAGTGTGATCACACTGGCCACAGACGGTTTTCATGAGCCCTTCTGTTCCAAAGGCAGCCGAGGCAGGGAGGCCCCAACAGGGCGAGAAGTGAAGCAAAGTGACTGGGTGACGGCCCTACACCCCTGGGCTGCCTGGCCCCAGCTCCAGAGGGACTCTCCACCTATAAAATGGAGATATCTACTTCAGAGGATGATGAGGAGGCTTAAGCACTGGAAAGCACTCAGCCCTCCTTGGCTGAAAGGGGCTGTAGAAGGTAGGGTGATCAGATAGCAAGTGTGAAAAATTGGGACGGGTGCCTATATAAGACAAAGCCCCAAATATCGGGACTGTCCCTATAAAATCGGGACATTTGGTCACCCTAATAGAAGGTAGCGTAGAGTCAGCAGGAGAAGGAAATACTGTGGAATGCGAGAGCTGCCCAGCCTTTGCTGCAGGTAGCGGCACTCCGTTCTGTCATCTTCCAATCTCTCCTTGCATGCTGCATGGGGCAGCTAGTTTCACTCCCAGCCTGGAGTCTACTCCAGCAATCCCATCTTGTCAGGTCTCTTGTGGCCAGCGGGCTGCAAGTCCGTCCATAAGAAAGCAATTACACTATATAATCTCAGGCCATTAGCAGAGAGAACTCAAGTGGATATTTCCTCCCAGCAATGGCCTGCTCCGATTACTGCATAACTAATTTGAACAGGAGCAGAGTCCATTGAACGGAGCGCATTTATCTGCACAAGGTAGAACTTGGGAGATAGAAATCTCATTTACAAGGGCACATGAACGCAGCTAGATATATAGCCACACAGCATCAGAAGATGAATGGAGCTCAGCGAGTCCTGAACAGCTGTGCCTGGAGCACATTTATAAATCTTGGTCCGTATTTCCCTTGCTGTAATGTGCCGGCAGACAGCTGAGAAATACTATGTGAATCAAGGGACACTCACAAAGCTGAGACCCAAAACACAGGCTTTATTTTACCTGAGAAAGGAAGGAGCTAAAGCCCTAACCCAGGAACAGAAAGGGCTCCAGGGTTGGGGGTGCAATAGGAAAAGCCATTTTTTAGTTTTCTTTCAAACCTTTCCCGCATCACGCTGGCAACGCAAGCAGCAGCAGGTGGAGAAAAGATCTGCATAAAGGACTCAAGTTCCATGTTCAGTGACTGGTTCTGCCATTAATTCCTGCGTGACTCCTCTGACCCTCGCCCATCAAATGGAGAGGGGACCTCCCCACCTCCCAGGAGAATTGCCAGGGTGTGCTGGTTAGCTGGTGAGGCACTCTGATACTAGAAAGATGTGAGCCAGGGAAAAGCCTATAAACCAGACAAACAGCACAACACTAACGCAGGGGTTCTCCACCTGAGGCCTAAAACCACCCTGCTTTGCCCATCCTGCTCAATGGAAGGGGGATCCACGCTCAATGGAAAAGGGGGGATGTTAGGGGGTCCCTCAATGTTCAAAGTCACCCTGGTGAGGTCTGAGAATCATGCAGTGACACTTAGAAAGAGGGAGTGAAACTGCCCACCTGAGTTTCCCAGCCCCGTGGCCAAACGCAAGAGTAAAGAGTGTAAGTGGGGAACCGCACATGGGAAGCTCATGTTCTCTCCATGTTCATTATCAAGGTCTTGGGCAAGTGGCCCAAGGACAGAGATTAGAACCACCATCTTCAGCCTCTCACTGGCCCCTAACCTGTTCATTGTTACAGGCTTATGCCAAGAAACACTTCAGTGTCCCTGCCTTAGATGCACGATTTCAACCCCTGGCCCCTTTGTGGGCAGAGAGCCTCAGCACAGCTGCATGGAACTGTGACCCCTAAGCACAGGAGGAGGGACAGAGGCCAGGCACAGAGCTTGGGGCCTAAATCCCATAGGCATTCCCTTTACCACAGTCAGCGTGCGGAGACTCAGAGGGAGTCCTGCTTTCAGCCCCCTCGGGACCCGGGTGACATAGCTCCCGATGCCATGTTAACAGGCCCTTCATGACACCGGCAGTGTCTTCAGAGAGTGGAGGCAGCTGGAGGTAGGGCTGCAGGGGAATGACCTCTAGCACTGTCACAGGGATCCCCTTTTGCTGGTCTGGAATTCAAGTGCATGGTTGCAGACCCTGCCCCAGCCGCTCATTACAGCCTTCCAGCTCTCCTCCCATCAGCCGGGGAACTGAACGTCCCTTTGAGCCAGGATCAGCTACTCTCTGCCTGCCTCCCACCCAACAGGTCCCTAAGGAGGAGCCGGCATTCATCACGCCAGCTCAAGAGCTCTTTGAAGAAAACATGCCCCTTACGGCCTAAGCACTGGCTTCCTGCTCCACTCTCCTGTGGAACGTCAGAAGTTAATTGTGTGACAAGACGCCAGGGGCTCCTCACATCCCTGCGCTGGCTGGCATGTGGATTAGGAAGGACGTTCTGGCAGCTTTCCCGCTGCCATGATCACAGGGGAGAGATGAGAACTGAAGCAAGCCAGAGCCCTCAGCAGCGGCTGCAACCGCTGCCTTTCCCTCCACAAAGACACCCTCACAGAGGGCTACCATTAACCCTTCTCACACACACTGCCCTACGTTTAATCCACAGTGCCCAGCTGCACAAAACTCACCCTACTCCTCCAGTGGCAACGAGCTAGGACAATGTAAACCCCAGGGATGGCTCGTTAGCAGCTTTATGCTGAGCCAGTGCCATCAATCCCGCCCTGCCTTCCACAGCAACTCACAGCACAGCGCCATGGCAAAGCGTCACTGAGGGTACTTCGTTAGATCCTCTCAAGCCAGCAGATAACGAGGGCAGCGTCCCCGGGGCCCCATGGGGCAGTCTGATTGCAGCGGGAAGTTTGGGACTAGTGTGCCTCCAGCCATCACAGCTTTCAATTGCTCTCCCCTGTGCATTAACAACTCCAGCGTAATCCTCCCTGAAGACAGGCTGCTCAGGCACAGCAAGGCTAGGCAAAGGCAGGATGCAGCCCCACATGCCACCATCCACCATGGGATGAGGGCAACAGCAGCCGGGGAGCCATTCCCAGGCAGCCACCCCAGCGGGATGCTGGGGCTCGCAGGAGCTCTGTGTTTGTGGGTGTTTCTAGGGGAAATGCCAGTGGGGTGTGGGAATTCCAGACCACCTCCCCTCCCCTTCAGAGTGCCTGGAGTGGGCCCAGTTGGGGGGGGAGGGGGCGGGAGGAGAATCAGCCCCATAGGAGCAGCTCAGAGGGAAGCAAGTGCAGGGGCCCAGGCCATGAGTGCTAACACAGTACTCCCTGCGCACTGGTGCAGGAGGAACGGTGCTTGAGGAGGGGTACAGAACAGAGCCCTCCTCCCCCATCGGCTCTGGACATGGAGGGTAGGTTCAGGCGATGCCCTGGGAAAGCAGCAGAACGAGGCCAGCCCAGCACTGCAGTCCCTACTCAGGGGGGTAGGTGCTCCTTTCACTGATCAGACTCTAGGCTCAGAGGCACCCTCCTCCTGCATGGGGTGGGAGGGAGCGGAGGAAGGTCTGCTGGGGGCCCACAGCACAGGCCTCGTGGAGCAGAGAGCGAGTGGCGATTCCCTCACACAGCTTGCAGAGAGCAGCAAGTCTTGGGCAGGTGGGGACCTGCCCCTGGCTCAGAGCAGGGTCCCCTCCCCCAGCATACATCCTGACCTGGGTGGGGGGGTGTAGGGACACTGTCTTGCCCTGACAACAGGAGGAACTGGCTACAGGCCTCCAGCTTGTTCCTTTGCTGCAGGGCAGGTGGCCAGCAGGGCCGGCTCTAGGTTTTTTGCCCCCCCACCCCCACCCCTGGGCTCTCACTCCCACCCCAACCGCACCCCCTGCCGCCCCAGCCCTGCGGTATCTGCAGGCGGCTCCGTGTGCCCCGC